ACAAGATACAGAAAGATGAAAAAAATAATGTAATCTACAAAATCAATTGTAATGATTGCAACCAATTCTACGTGGGACAAACATCATGTAAATTAAAAACCAGGATCCATGAACACCAGTTCACAGTCAAACACCATGATGCTAAATCCTTAATCCCTACCCACATCTGCACCAAAGAGTTCGGTTGGAGCAACATAAAAACCATCAGCCATGCTATCACCTGCCACGCTCATGAATTCATCAAAGCCTGGCACTCCACAAGCAATTTGATCAACAGACAGATTTATCTATAACCAGAGTACGAACCCCTCAGAATCCAAATCAACTGCACAGCCAACTAGAGACAGCATTGACCCTCAACCAACCCATGCAAGCCCTCCCAGCACTTCACCTCCCAATGTCCCTCACCTGGTGTAACCTCCCCATCGCAAGAGTCCCACTGATAACTCACCCTTGACCCATCACAAGACCTACTGACCATATAAAGAACAGAAGAACACTGACAATGACATCCCCTAAACTCTGCTGAAGATGTTACCTAGCTTGGTAATGAAATGTTCAGAACCCACAAGCTTGGAGAATGAACCTTCATCTTCAGACAGCTTCCTTCCTGATACATTCTCATTTATGTGAGTTTGATCTGGCCCTGATGGATGGTTCTATTGTTTTTGTTGTATTTCTAAAGTTTTTTATGTCATTCAAAACAGCTTTTAAAATGTCACATTCTAAAACTCTTAAAAAGCAAACTCCAGAGATGCTGAAAATTAATATTAAACTAATATTTTAAAAACATGTTTAGTTGCATATGCTGTATAATGTGTATGCAAGATATAAATTGTAAGAAACTGTCCATCTTAGACAAAAAAGACCTCATATTTTGGTAATAAAATTCAGCAGACACTTCTCACCATTTTTAAAATCATTTATGTAATTAATTATGAAAAAAAATTCCCAGTGGAATTGTTTTAATAATAAAGATGGAAAAATAATAAACAAACAAACAGACAGAATGTCTAAACTGTTGGCTAAAGTGCTTTCTTATTCTATATTGCCTTCCTCCAATGGGGGTGATAGGTGAGATAACTGAAATTATTATCCAACTTTTCGACTGAAACCAAATAGGGAGACAATATCAGCCAGTGAGAACTAGCCTCATGTTCTTGTACTACACAAAGTGGAGTGTAGTATAGTAAGTACAGGAAACAAAGCAGGAGATCTAGTAGAATCGACAAAGAAACAAAGACTGCAAGACAGAACAAAAAGCAATCCTCTTCTAATTCCCAGATTGGTCTATATCACAGGTCGGCAACCTGCGGCTCCGGAGCCGCATGCGGCTCTTTGAGCCTTCCCCTGTGGCTCCCAGCCTCCTCTGTGCAGAGAGAGACAGAGAGAGGCACTTGCGCTTCTCTCTCTCTCTCTCTCTCCCCCTCCCTCCCTCCCTCCCTCCCTCCCTCTCTCTCTCTCTCTCTCTCTCTCTCTCTCTCTCTCTCTCTCTCTCTCTCTCTCTCTGCAGGAAGCAGGAAGGGCAGGAGAGAGCTAGCTAGCCTAGCTAGGCTGACTCAGGAATTCTGGGAGTTGAAGTCCATGAGTCATAAAAGAGACGAGGTTGCTTCTTGGACAACAGCTTGAAGCTTGCCAGGTGAGCAGCAGATAGGAGGGGGGGAGAAAGAGAGAGAAAGAGAGAGAGGGAGGGAGAGAGAGAGAGAGAGGAAAGAGAGAGAGAAAGAAGGAGAGCGGGGAAGAGGAGTGGCAGACCAAGGGCAGATAGAGAGGGAGGGAGAGAGAGAGACAGAGACCCTTTTGACATCTAAAATGAAGATAACACTGCATATATCCTTTTTTAACCTTTATTATGGGGGTGTGTATGTTTGTGTGTGTTTGTGTATATGTATGTATGTATACATACATATACATATATACACACACACATACATACACACAAACACACACACACACATACACACACACCCCCATAATAAAGGTAAAAAAGGATATATGCAGTGTTATCTTCATTTTAGATATCAAAATGGTTTTGTGGCTCCCAGTGTTTTGTTTTTGGTGGGAAACAGGTCCAAGTGGCTCTTTAAGTGTTTTGGGTTGCCTACCCCTGGTCTATATGTCTCATAACTTTGGTTGTTTTTTTAATCTGTCTGTCTGTCCGTCCGTCCATCTATCCAGCCGTTCATCTCAATATATTACTTAAAAATCATGAACATAGATCAAATTGGCAAATTATATATTTAATGAAAATCTCTCCATGACAAAATCTACAAGCTTTCTAAGAAAATATAAATAAATTTTATCAAGAGTAATATATTTTGGGAAATCACACCATACAAAAATTTTCCACTATGCAAGCTTTACATGAAAATATTAACATCTGACTGAAATTTCTCAAAAAAAAAATAGCTTTTCATTTTAATTTTTATTATCATGGTACTATAACAATAGTACCTTAGAAATTTTGAGGAGTTAGTAAAATAGCAGAAAGTTATGCTTTCTTACTGTACAGAAATACTAAGACAGACAAAACATCATGTTCTGAGATTTAATAGGAGCCGAAATAGCATACATGCAGCTCCATATAAATTCTACATCAGTATTACAATATAGAAAAAACAATTTCAGATATATTTTTAATGACTGTAATAAAAGAGGCACGTTCCTGAAAACAGTAGTTGGAATATTTTTAACATAGTGGATCTTGAGCTGAAATAACTCAGGGTTTTCAGCAATCCATGTGACAATTCCTAGTTCATTACTCTTTACTTTTTGCTAAATGACTTGATATTTTCTTAAATTCAAAAATAAATATTGGTGTAAGCTTTTCCAAAGCATTCAATATTCAAGCAAAAAGATCATTTGCATGCCCCCCAATGTAATTTAGATCAACTGCAATAAAGAATAATCTCAATATTAAAAAGATTGAATACTAATGTTGTTAAAAACTGCTATGCCACCTTAGAAATGTCAGCTTTACTATTGTACAGACCATTGGCTCCATCAAATGGTAGAGTGCTAAATTGCAGGTTTCTGTAAGCAGAAAAGTGTTTGCCTAAGTTAATGTTGATTCTTGGCAACTGCTGGACTAGAATCTAAAGTTTTCTTGACAAGGTTTTCAGGTTTGGTTTGCCATTGCCTTCTTCTTAGGGCTGAGAGAGAATGATTGGCTAATGGTCACCCAGCTGGTTTTGTACCTAAGAAGGTACTAAAACTCCAGAATTTCTCAGTTTTAGCCTGATGCCTAAACCCAGACATGTCAAACACAAGGCCTGGGGGGCCGGATGCGGCCCATGAAGTGGTTTCATGTGGCCTGCGAAGCTATCCTGGAAACAGTGAGGGAACGGCCCCTGCTGCCTTGGCCCTGGCCCAGGCCGGCCAGGAGCCAATGTACAATTTTATGGTGGCCATCTATGCTGAAATGTATTAAGTCTTGGCTCCACAAGGCCATCTGGAAAAAGTGAGGAACCAGCCCCTGCTGCGTCGTACCGCCCCCTGGGTGCATGCTGGAGAGGTGTCACCTTTGTGAGGAATGAAGAAATGCACCATTGCCTGGAAGTGGCCAACAAATGGCCCTGGCCTACTTCACATATCCGGCTTGATGTGCTCAGTGGGAGGGGTTTCGGCAGGAAGTGGGACGCTCTTCTCACAGCGCCAAGAGGCTGAGCCCCCACATGCACCCTTGACGTGAATGATGTAGAGCTAGCCATGCCTACCCAGTAGGCTGCACCCACCCTGGCCACACCCACCCAGCCCCCCAAGGGCAACTGCAATGCTGATGCAGCCCTCAATGAAATTGAGTTTGACACCTCTGCCTTAACCAGACTCTTTTAGAAGCATGAAGAAAACTAACCGTAAAATTTAAAATTAAAATATTTACAATAGAAAATGAATATATTGGGCTATGTTATTAAGGAATTATTTGTTTTCTTCAGCTTTCTGTATCTCTTGTTCAGTTTCATTATGCGCTTATATTTTTGAAAGGAGGCGGAACCATGTCTTAATTTTATAAATATTTCTATTCTTGCATGCTTTTTAAAAATGTAATTGTTCTAGATGTTGTACTCTTCTCCGTAGGGAAATTGAACAAATTAGCAATAAACTTTGTTGTATTTTTCTCAAACATTTCTAACTTTACAGTATCATTGATGAACTGTGGCATTCTAAGGGAAGCATGCATAATAATTTAGATAAAAGCACAAGATTTAACAGTTCATTTTTATATATTTTTCTAAATATTCCTAAGGTAGAGTTTAATTTTTTAGACAAGGGTCCCCAGCCCCTGGCCACGGACTGGTACCAGTCCACAGCCTGTTAGGAACCGTTCAGCACAAGCAAGCGAAGCTTCATCTGCACATGCCTTGGGATGTAGGCATGTGTGAAAATATGCCCCCCCCCCCATCCCTGGTGCCCAAAAGGTTGAGGGCTGCTGTTTTTTTAGTAATTATGGCACATGCGATTTACATTTTTATCACACTAGTCACTTCAACCTTAAGGTCTCTTTCTGGGATACACACCATAACCTCAGAAAACTTTATACATACATAATTGAAATTTGTTATGTTTGTTTCAAAATAGACAGGGGCTGCAATAGTTGCTAAAGAGACATTTTACAGAAGCTCCTCAGTTTATTAGCAGATAGAAAATTGAACTCATAAGCTATTATGCACTAGTTCAATGAAAATAAAGCTGAATCTTTTAAAAATGAATAAAATATGAATAGAAGGAATGGATTAAAGAACATATGGAAAATAAGGAATCATATATGTCCTTATCATGACATAAAAGTTATTTTTGACGAGATGTATATAAGATAGTACCAGTTTTATCTATATAGCTGCATATACGGTACTTAATACCAATGAAAATTGACTAAATGGTTTTTACAAATAAATATTATTCCACTATATTCTACCATTTTATCAGAAGGAAATGTTTAAACATTTAAACAAAAATGTATATTAGCAGTTTTAAGTCAATTCATTTTACATAACACTTACAACTGTTCTTCCTCTTTTGTTTTCTTGTCAGAAATCAGATAAACTGTTCCAAAACTTCCACATCCAAGTTTTTGATAAATATTGTATCTTCCTGCAATCAGTGTTTTTGAGTGGATAGAAATAGGTGTAAATGATGTACCATGCTTAATTGCTTCCTGGAATTTCAACATTACTCCATAGAATCAAGGTAGCTCAATAATTAATACTGAATCTACAAAATGAACAATTTCTTGATCATGAAGGATTATTCACCTGTAAGAGGAAAAAGAATATTCAATATACTGGAATGTATAACATATTTAAGAATAGGTTTAACTTACTTCTTTTCCATTATATTATTGTAGCACTGGCGCAGTACAAGACCTTATAGAACAGCGGTTCTCAATCTGTGGGTCGCGACCCCATTTGGGGTCGATCGACCATTTCACGGGGATCGCCAAACAACGCGATCCGCCATTTTTTGTCAGCCGGCACATGGGGTGCCGCCGCGCATGCACGCCGCGCATGGGGCAGCGCATGGGGCGGTGCCGTGCATGCACGCCATGCATGGGGCGGCGCCGTGCATGCACGCCACACGGGGGCGGCGCCGTGCATGCGTGCCGTGCAGGGGCGTTGCCGCGCATGCGTGCCGTGCGGGGGGCGCCGCCCGCATGTGCACCGCCTGCTTATGTCCGGGGTCGCCGTATAAAAAGGTTGAGAACCACTGTTATAGAAGCAATTTTCTCTTACACTCAAACTTCACTGCTACCACAAACAAAGTATATCAATTCCTGTATTTGAATATGTACTTATGCCATCATTGATTTATTTTGAATTTTGTTTCATTTTGTATAGGATCACATACTACATTAGACAATGGCATAATTGTTTTAATGATAAATTTAATTCTTAAATCAGGTCCTCTGCTATATATATATGACTTACATTATTTATCCATATACTACTTAAACTCTCTTTTTTGAATATTTTAAAAAACAAAATATTTTTTATTTTGTGTAAGACAAAAATTCAAATAGGCTAACATAAAATGCATCCAAAATCCATGACCCCTCTGGAACTGAAATCTAGCAAATTTTATAAAATATTTATTACTAATACAAAAATATCATAAAATATTTTCTATGGCCAACTCCTAATGTTTGACTGGGCTATACAGTCCAACATGGGCTATTTTCAAGGTAGATATATCTGAATATCTCCCAGAATATTTAAGAAATTTTCAAGTACATTAGAACTTCTGCCATTGTTGAAAGAATCTGGTAAGAAAATATCTCTGAAACAAAAACCCAAGAGTTAATGGGTCATCTAGTTATTATTAACTTGTCTACCAACAATCTAAATGTTGACAGTCACACTGCAAAACTATTTGTCAAATCTTATTTGTTAAAAAAAAAGGTTTAACCTCAAAACCAGCAACATACCTAATATTAAAAAATAGCTTTTTTATCAAATTGGTCCCAAATTTCAATGAGCCCTATGGATTCGCAATTTGTAACAATAGCACCAAGCGTGAAACTGTTGCAATACTCATTGTCTGTGCCGCCAATAAAGTTCCATGGAAGAGGCAACTGTTCAATTAAAAAAAAATCGGGATGATTTAGGGTCCTCGCGAATCAATATATATCTAAATATCAAATAAAAACACTTTGGGATACGCAGGATAAAAAAATGGATTTTCGCAAAGCAACTGCGAGTAACAATTCATTGACTTTGTCCAGCAGTACCATCCCGTACTGAGAGGGACGCGAGGGTTATATCCTTCGCGTAGCCTCCCTCTCCTCTTCCCCCCAACCAACACCTGCCTTCCAGTACAATTCGCCTTCTCCCACTTCCTCAGTGTTTGGCTTCTGTTGCTAGGCGAGGGCACTCTGGACTGTGAGCATTTATGCTTCCGTATCCTGGCTGAGGAATTCTGGGAATTGAAGTTCACACATCTTTCTCAATCCAGTAATGTAAAGGCTGGCGATGACGTAGGTAGCGTGGTCCGCCGTATTTGTCGGGAGCTTAGCCGCTTCCTCCTTTCTAACAGCCGAGAGTTCAAGAACGTTCTGCGCGCAGGTACGTTGTCCAGGAGGTTAGAGGTGGCTCCAGCCAGCACGGTGCTAATCAGACGTTCGCCTCGCAGCCTCTTTACAATTAAAATGTTCCGTAATCTGGCGGCCAAAATGTGTCTTGAGTCAAAGTCTTAATTAGAAACATGGCTCAGGAGGGACGCTTCCAATATTACTTGGAATGGAATTGCAAGTTTTCCTTTGTTTTCAAATTTACTAGGCAGCCGGAAATTCAATAGAATTCCAGGCTCACGCCAAAGAAAACTGAATCTGCAAAACTTCACTCCGTTATGGAGTTGTACTGTAAAAATACAAGAGGATGCGGTCAAGAAAGAAATGGCATCCCTATAAAGAGGGACAACACCAAGAAGAAAGGCTTAATTTCTAATGTTAAACGGGCTTCTTCAGAGTTGGTTAATTAAAGAGGTCCACAGGACAGAAAGCTAAGAGTTAACAACGTTCATTCAGGATTTGATTGGCTATTTCCATTGCATGTAATCCAGACATACAGACACACATACATTTCAGTTCTTTGAAGAGTCAAAAGCTCAGAACACTGACCTATCAGCAGGTTGCATTCATTTTAAGAACTACTGTAATTTGCAATATTTTTTTGATGCGCTGGCAATTGCTTTGGGATGGTGTTTTCATTCATTTGGAAATTAGATCATGATTTAAACAAAATGCTCTTTTTCTGAAACTACATTTGAAAAAAGGGTGGCGTGGTGTTGGAATCAATTAGATTTGCCTATATTACAAAGGCAGGAAGTTTGTGATTGATATATATGTAGCACCTGAATTTTATTCATTTATATTTATTTTTACACGTAACTCAAGGCAGCAAACATATCCAACACATTTCCCTCCTGTTTTACTCACAACAATTCTGTGAAGTGAATTGGGCTGAGAGAGAGTGACTAATCCAGGGTCACTCAGCTGGCTTTCATGAGTAAGATGGGACTTGAAGTCATGATCTCTTGCTTTCTCATCTGGTGCCTTAACCACTAGGCCAAATTGGCTCATAATGTGAAAGCAGCATTCTTCCCCACTTCCAATTAAAATTGCCTCAACCACCTGTCCAGCAAAACTCCTTTTGGATGGTGTTCTCTTGAGATTGCTGTAGATTGTTTTTTCCAAGTATGTTTATATATACATATATAAGATAGCTTTGGCATCTGGGGACAGGGATAGATATATCCTTAAATAAAAATTAAATAATAAAAACAATCTGCAGTGTTGCAGATAATCTAACAGTTATTAAATTGAGGACTGTTAGTATTGCCTTTCTTCTTCATTATAATTTAACACCAAACACATATATGACTACTTGTCAGCTAAGCAGACAGATTCTGCTGGAATTTATGAAATGAAATGTACGGTAAGTAGAGGAGGGATGTAGAGCTTTTATATTTATTTAACCTTGCTACAGATGTAATTACAGTAGGATGTGGGAACTACTATTTATAGCATATGGCAGTAGACAACACTGGCTTCCCAAGTAATTCTAAAAACTGATGATACAAGATTTTGCTTTGGGAATAAAAAACCATGGAAATTGCTCTTAGGAGGAGCTTTAGAATCAAAATGTTTTTTTTTCCTTCTGGTGATTGATACACACAGTAAACTCCCAGTTTAACATTTAATGAAGGGAACGAGTATCTGTTAGACCCAAATGTCTATTAAAGGAGAATGGGATTTTAGTCATGTGTAAAATGGTAAATGGGATTTTTCACTAGCCTAAGGTGTCATTCATGTGTATTTCTAGTGAGTTGATTCAACTGTTGCAGTACTCAAATTTAATGTATCATAGAAATTTGTAATGATAAAATATAAAATACAGTCAATGGAATTTTTCTTTAATCTTTGTAAGCAAACATGCAAAACAATTAACAAGTGCATTTTTAATTATAAAACATTCAGATTTTTAAAAACTTTTTTGAGCCATTTATCCTGCTCGTCTTCTCAAACTGACTAGGGAATTTGGAAAGTCCCATGGCTCTGGAATCCCAGTCACTGCTAAGCATGTTTGAGGAAGCATCTCAAAGTATTTCTTGCCTGAAGCCCTTTGATTCCTAAAAGCCTCATGAAGTTTTGCATAAGGATGGTTGCCAAAACAGTTTTGCGGTGGTAATGGGGAGAGAAAGAACTCTGACCCTTTTGGGCCTATTTTGATGTAATTAGAAGCGTGATAGAACCTTATTTCAGAAAGGGCCCAATTTTACAATTTGATTATTTTTTGAAGGTCAGTAGGGTTTTTCCCCCAAATGACTACATTTCAGTTGGCTTTATCCTTACAGCAACTAGTCCACCCATCATGGATGTGAATTTTAGTCATTAATACAATTGCTTTCTCATGGCATTCAAATACTCTAACTGCAGTATCAGCTAATTAATCAATTAATATTGCCCAATTAATTCCAAACATTGTGCTTTTTCTTTGAAAGATTCATTTTTTTTTCTTTTTCTTTAACAGGGGCACTCCAGCTAATAAGAATGGGCATTCATGGCCTAACGAGTTATGTAGGGGAACATAATGAATTCTTTGTTGATCTGCAGCTGAGAAACACAGATGTAATAATTGATGGAAATAATTTGTATCATGGCCTTTACTTTAACTCGAATCTGGATATCCGGCATGGTGGGGATTATGATTCTTTTACAGATATTATATGTCAGTTTTTTCAGTCATTGGCTATGTGCCACATACAGCCATACGTTGTGCTGGATGGAGGTAATGATGCATCTAATAAAAAATTTGCAACCTTAAAGGAACGAGCTCAGGAAAAGATCCAGGTGGCTCATTCTCTTTCTCATGGTGGGAGTGGAAGTGTATTGCCTTTGCTTGTCAGAGAGGTCTTCAAGCAGATTCTAACTGAACTACAAGTGCCTTTTGTACAGTCATTTTCAGAGGCAGACAGGGATATTGTATCTCTAGCCAATCAATTGAGTTGCCCTGTCCTAACTTTAGATAGTGATTTTTGCATTTTTGACCTCCAAGCAGGCTATTGTCCTTTAAATTATTTTCAGTGGAAAAACCTTTGTAAATGTAAAGACTCACAAGACAGCTACATCCCAACACGGTGTTTCTCATTAGAAAGATTTTGTAGATATTTTAGCAATATGAACAAAACCCTCCTGCCTCTCTTTGCTGTAATGAGTGGCAATGATTATATAAATCTGCCAGTTATGGAAGTGTTCTTTAGTAAAATACACCTTCCTATAGGGAAATTCCGACGGAGGAGTAGAAAGCATGACCGCATTCAGGGACTGCTGAACTGGCTATCTCGTTTTTCTGATCTTTCTGAGGCAATGGAAAGTGTATTGGAGTATTTTAAAAAGCATGAAAAAGAAGACATACGACAACTTCTCTCTTTTTTCATGGCAGAATATGAACCATCTAATGTCAATCTAAAAGATTTTTTCCAGAGTGGTATGTATGAATCTGAGGAAATGAAGAAATTAAAATTACCACAGTGGATTGCAACAGGCTTAATTAAAGGACATCTAGCACCATTTATTAGTGATGCTCTTATATTAAGAAGAACCATCCTTCCTGTTCAGGTGGAGAATATGCAAAGACGTAGTGCTCATTCCATAACTCTGCCAATCAGACAAGTTATTTATTGGTTACTGTTGAATATTTCACCAAGTTCAGTTAGTCCCTCTTTGAACAAAGAGCCAACTTCAGAATTTCCTCCTGTCTTCTATGAATTTGATAGACTCCAAAATTCACTCAAGAAATCATCTGTTCGTGTAGCAGAATTGGCACAGAAATTTCCAGACAGTTGGTATGCTTTGGCTACATTAAATGAGGTAAATACTCAAAATGATGTGCTTGAACATTTCCTATACAGAAAAAATATGAAACATACTGTGCAGATTGATAATTATCACTTTTGAAATCATTTTTAAGTTAGATTTGACCTCTATAACTGAAGATATACATTGAAAAGCATGAGCAATCCTGATATTTAATGATGTTGATGCTTAATACCCTGAGAGATAGCAAGCAGTGCCTTCTGGACTCTGATTCTTTTTTCCTATTTATAGCTAGCAAAATATACATTTATGCTTTTCATATAAATTACTCAACTTTTCAGAATCTTTTCCACATTGCAGATGCCAGGATTTCTTGATGTCTCTAAATAGTTTTCTTATAAATCCTTGATCCCAAAGGAATTCTTAGGAAAAAATTTATAAAGAGATATCTGTGATAGTATTTTGCAATAAAAAATGAATAAAAACTTGTGGGACATCAAAGACAAAAGCTTTATTAAATTCATATCTGTAGATCTCATTACACTTAACCAGAAGTACAGAGTGGAATTGGAGAGAACAAATATTTGTGGTTCAGCAGATAGGGTATACAAAACAATTGTTTTTTGGGGGGATACAGAGAGGAAAAATTGCAATAAAAACATTTAAGCATTTTTGCACTAGGTTATTTTTGCAAATTTTTTTTGTACCAAAACTTAAAGAGTCCAACATTCCATACATACCATTGAATCTATTCTGTGACATTTATTATTCTGAGAAATAAGTATGTTTATATTTTTTTTAAGGAAGGAATGGGAAGATTGAAGCAATGACTTTGAAAATATTACTGTAGGATAACAGAACAATGCAGCAGAATTCCTTATGGGATATGTATGACATAAAAGATAGCAATATTTGGGGCGGGGGAAGAGATTGAGAGTAGCTTACTAAGACAGAATGTTTATTAATTAATAATTCTCCCAACTCCCCAAAACAAGCCAAGTGGAAAACTAATCATATGCAAGTATTAGTACTTTTCTAAAGAATCTCACTGTGAACTTGTGGGCCCACTGAATAAAATTATAAATAGGTTTAAAATTAAAAATTACTTAGGAAACAGTATTTTTCTTTACCATTTATTTGTAGGCACCCATCGCAGAGCGTCTGCTATTTTTGTTTGAGACGTTAGGAGTGTCAACCAGTATCCTTGAACCAGTTCCTTGTTTGCTGCAGCTCCCTATGGCTGTAACCTGTTACTGGACCAAGTTTTCAGAACCAAAAGTGACACTACAGCACATCAAGGCTTTACTACTTGGAATAACATTTGGGGAATTAGATAAGATGTTGCACATTCCAGGTAGGTTTAGAAAGGATCAGGCTTAGTTGACACATGGATTTATCCAGCTAAAGGCTATGTTCATTTGATTCAATTTTGTAAGTATGTGATATATTTTAAATAAAAGTACATGTCAAGAGGCTTTTTATTATGTACATAACCTCATATTAAAATACTTTATAATAAGATGGACAAAACATTCGGTGTTATAGATATACTGTCCAACTCTTTCTTAGTGTTTGTTAAATCATAAATTATTCTTCCAATTAATATTCTATTTTACTGCTCCTGTTCTTGTTTTTAATCATGCTCAGTTTACACCCAGGAGCAAGAAGGAGCTTTCTTTCTGATCCAGATTAGCCAGTCCTATTTCAGGATATCCAATATTGTGGGCTAATCATGTGAGACATTGGTTACAGTGTGGTATGGTGAGGAATTGCAGGCTGGACGCTGGCTGGTTAAAATAAATGTTTCTAATTACTCTCCAAATAAAAATATGGAAATCATTGTAGAATTTTAATACCTAATATTTAAAGCTGATGTTTGAAGAATTTGATGTTTGTATCATGCATCTTATTAGAATTATTAGTTCTAAAGTATACCTCCACTTTGTAGGATGTGAACAACAGTATATTTACAAGTAGTAAATTTGTCTGCTAGTTTTTTTAGAATATAGCATGGTGCTTATAAAAGTAAGAATTGGGTTGAGATTGTAGCATAATGGCGGAAGTGCCAAAATTAACCAGAATTATTTCTTTAACATTAGGAAAGAAGTGTAAACATGATATGGGTACTACTTAGGCTGGTAATCTAGTCCTTTGTTTTTATGTAATAGCCTTCATTGACCAAAACAGTGATGGGTAGTGGAGCAGTAGTGGGATTCAAATATGTGAACAACCGGTTCTCTGTGTGGATGCCGCTTCTGGAAGTCCATTCTGGGCCTGGGCAACAAAAAATTAGCTACCGGTTCTGCCAAAGTGGTGCGAACCGGCTGAATGCCACCACTGTGGTGGAGATCAGTATTTATTGACCATCTAGTAGTAGTAACAACCATAAAAGATGTCTATGAAGATTCAGGTCATAGTTGTATCAAGTGTTTTTTGTTTGTTTGTTTGTTTTTGAAAAAGCAACTAGACTGATCTTTGAGGAAAAACAAGATGTTTCGCTTCCTATCCTGGAATACAACTTATGAAGTTTCCAGGATAGGTAGTGAAACATTTTTCCTCAAAAATCAGTCCAGTTGCTTTTTCAAAATAAAATAAAAACATTTTTGATACAACCACAATAGATGTTGTAAATTTGTGATATTAAAAGGAAGGGAGAGGAGGTAATATATCTCAATGAAAGTCTGATCTGGAATTGAATTGATGACTACATGTATATTTCTTTTGTTTTTGCATCATGTTTCTTAGTCCATGTGTGCATTAATATCTGTGTGCATGTTGCCTGCCTAATTACAAAAAAAGTAGTAGATAACAGATAAAGTCATCAATACTGTAAGAGAGAAAGTAAAATACAGTTGTTTAAATTAAAGCAAGTACAGCTTGGGTATAGTTAAGAATACATGTGGGCAAATGGATTCTTTTCACAGTCTCCCTGGGAAAAAAACTGAGAAAGGATTTTAAAGATGATAATCATATGGTGTTATATGAGCTGTTCATGAAAAAAAATAAGGATTAGCCAAGTCACTATTTTTCAGTAAAACCCATCAGCAATAAAAAATACTTTTCCAAACTTCCTTTGTTTTTGCAACACTATTCCCATATAAGGGGAAGTACCCAAATTTAAAGTAGTAAATAAGGAAGGGTTGTGCTTTTGATGTTCTAAAAATTTAGAAACTTTGGTGTCCATTCTTATCAATGTGAAAATAAAATCATTCAATGTCCAGGAAATTTTTTTTCTTCCATATCTAGATTCTGAAAGACCACATGCTGAGGTCAATAAAATTGTACATGACCAGTTCTTGAAATGGAAAGAAAAAAAATCCCCAAAAGATGCTTTGGAATTAGATGTTGCACACACTTTCTGCCAATGGCAGTGCTGCCTGCAAGCAGGATTATATCTCAACCAGCTGCTTTGTAGTCCTCTCCCTGAGCCGGATCTTACACGGTAGGTATTTCCAAAGCATCACATTTGTATGTGCTTACTCCAAAGGATGCTCCTTTAATTTCAATACAATATTAGGATGTGTATATGAAAAAATAATGTTATTCAGTTTGAGAGTCCTTCAGGTACGTTTTTTCCAAACTCCAAGTGGGCTTTCATGTGTTTTACACTGAGGAATGGCTTCTGTCTAGCCCCTCTGCCATAAAGCCCAGATGGAGGGCTGCAGTGATGGTTGTCCTTCTGGAACTTTTCATCTGCTATAGTATGCATTATTAGCTGTGAGGCCTTGTATAGAGAGTTGTGTGCCTTTCCAAATTATGTCCAATCAATTTAATTTACCATAGGGCAACTTCAACCAAGATGCAGAAACATATCAGCAATAATCAAGAGAAATGGGAGGCACCTGAGCTAAATTTCAAGTGTTGTTGTAAACTTAATACTTATGACAATGTGATATTTCAGTTTTTTCTTTTTAATACATTTACAGACATTTCTAAAATTCTTTTTTCACTTTGTCATTATGGAGTACTGAGTGTAGATTAATGAGGAAAAAAATGAATTTTAACAACTGTAGAATCAGGCCACAGCATAATAAAATTGACAAAAGTGAAGGGGATCTGATTACTTTCTGAATGCACTATAGCATTTTCCAAAACAAGGAAAATGTTTTTAATTAAAATGTTTGTATAAAACCCAGTTGGGGGACAACAACTACAAAGGTTGATCTTGGCAGGCTAAAACCGGCAAATGTGGCTAATTCTGGAATGGAACACCAATAGGAAATTCCAGAACTGGAAGGTAGATTTGGAGTGTGTGAAACATCCCAGAAAAAAGATAGTAGTAAACCACTTCCTTATTATTAAATAAGAACAAAGTTTTACAAGGATATGTCCATAGTATCACCATGAGTCCAGTTTAATGCAAGGGAGTTTATTTCTAAGACAAATCTGAAAAGGCATTTGTATAAAGGGTTTTAGTATTCTGCACTCTTAATGGTTTTCTTTGTTTGATTGGTTGGTGTGATTTTTAACATATAGCACAAAGTTTTCTTTTATAAAACCATTTTTTTTCATCTTTGACAGGCTTTATAATGGGACCCTTATCCATAGATTGTATCATCAGCTTAATTCCAGTTCCATGCCAGAGAACCTCCTCAGTACATCCCCAAAGATGTATGAGCTTTACTGCAGCATGGTACAGATAGTTAAAGATTCAACGCCACCAGGTTTCTTTCAGAAGTCAAAATCCCAAAGGAAAAAGGACAAGAAAATTATTAATAAATTGCAAGCTACACGAGAAAGCACTATGATGGACACTCTACCTTTCTGTAGTATTAACAGGTTTGCAACACTGGCAATTGAGAACTGAAAGCCCAGTATTCCAGACTGGTTGTTAATATTTATCTGTCTTTGGGTTTGAGAAGGTATTTCTCAAAAGAATTGGAGAAGTAATGCTATTACAATGGATTTACTCCTTCAGTAAATCAGGAACAGGGAAAATTGCTGAATTGTTTTTAATAATTGTTAATTTTTCAGAAGACATTTTAAAAAACTAATCTTACCTTGAAAAGGTTTCTGAAAGATATTTCAAAGATGCCTCTCTATTTTTCATTGTTTCGTTGTATATGTTTATACGTTTAACGAAATTATTCACCTTATTTATGTTGTAATAATACCTAGATATTTTGATTTTTTGTTTTACATAGCTTGTAAATCTTACTGAATTGTAAGACTAGAATGGGATAAAATAATGAGGAAATAGTGAAAAACAGAACCATTGCAAAAGAGAAATCTTAATCCAGAAGTGTGGGCAAGATTGAGGAAGAGATTGAAAGCAACTCTGCCATAATCACATTAGGTATAAGTTGATCTGAAGAATTATTTTGACAGGCTCTCAGCTCTCTGTTACATTACCCTACTAGCAGTAAAGCTCTTTTCAGAAATCCAAGTGATAATTGTTTTCCAAGTTTCACAGATTAAAAAATGAATAAATAAAATATAGAAGTCTGCTTTTTAAAGGCTTTTAAAGAAAGATAAGAAATCTGAGTATCAAAAGTTTCTGACATACAGGAAAGATTATATGGTTTAAAATTATTTTGCTGAATGAAATAAAAGCGTACACTAATAGTGGTTTCTATCAGCCATTCAAAATTAATCAGGAAAAAAACCCACAAGCACTAGTGGAACTCTATTTACAAGATAAAATAACAAACTTGTGCCATGGACAGAATTCCTCTCCTTTTTATACAGACAGAATCAAAGTGAGGTAATTTTAAGTTGCTTGTTTACCCTCTTTTCTCTTTTGGAGCTAAGCTGCTATTTATGTAACCACTCTTGCATTCCCCCCCCTTCAAGGTTATGTTCATAGTCCAATAATGTATCTCTGTGAAGTCAAATATAATAAATCCATCTCTATAATCAAAAGAACTGTATCTCTGAGTACAACCCTACGAGATAACATTGATGTGAGTATGCTACGGTACTTGAGTGCTACATTTAGGCCTCCCAAGATATTTGATTGAATGCTGTGAGAATAGAAAATGGATGGATTTTTGGCCTGATCTTACAAATCTTTAATTTGAAACAGGGCAGAGTAGGGGGACAATTGAAAAGGTATGAGCTGGTAACTTTGATTAAATAAAATATTTAGATTACCATGGAAGTGAAAAACAAACAATTTTGTGATCCAGTTATATATAAAATTACTCAATCACATATTTTAAGAAAAGCATTTACTTGAAAATTGGAATATAGACTTTTCAATCACAAAAAGAAAGAAAAGACAGTGATCTGACAATTACATCCTGTGCAAAAAAGGATCAGGATACAAAAAGAAAAACCCATGGTACACAATGCAGAATAATGGAAATAAATACAGGAGCTGAAAAATGGCACTCTTGTAATTCAATTACCTAGATGGAATGCCTCAAATATTTCCATAATCAAATCCCATCACCTTCACCATAAAGCTTATTTTAAATAAAAGCTAAAACCTTTCATCTAGTTTATATTTCTATAGACATACATCTCTTAAGAAAAAAAGGTGTGCCAGACTCTTGACATAGGTTTCTTTTTAAAGTAGTCTTTCTCATACTTACAAAGTTCCATCAATTTGGAAAGAAAAATTATCTTTGAGGAAAAAAAATATTACCAAAGTTGCATAATTTATTACTCCCTGTCTGGAAGTTTAGAATTAAACAGTCTTTAATTTTACCAAAGTTTATTATACTTCAGGGAGAAGGGCTTGTCAAAAGCCGTTTATATTGTTTCTCCCTCATACATAAACAGCAGTTTCTAGTTACGTAAAGAATGCAATGTGCATCATACGTCAAGAAATGATCCCAAAGGTGGTGATCTACCATGCTTCTGGGTCTTCTCCCTGCTTTTTTCAACCTTCTTTATGATCTCTGATATTATACACACGGAAGAAGTAAGGCCCAGAAGAAATTGCAAATCTAAAAATAAATGAAAACATGGCTTTTCAATTCACAGTTACAAGAAAAACTTTTAGTCTGCCTACTTTTTAAATAATTAAAAGAACTGATATAAGATTGGGTTTTAATTTTAACTTAGAAGGGGTTACAGTATTTTCTTAATCTGACAAGATTTTATAGACTACTGAAAAGTTCAAAACTCTATTTTTAAAGTACATTAAATTATTTTGGACAATTGATCACCACAACAGTTTCCCCCCAAAAAATCTCTAGGTCCTGAGTCTAATAAAAGAGGTTTGTAAGAGAAACAGATCAATGCTGTTCTCAGAATAAGCTAATTTTAATTAATTACCACAAACTGATCTTGCTGAACAGTCCAAAGAACAGAAGGGACATAATGACCTTCAGGTTTCCCTTTTGTGAATATGTATGCTTTATTTACTCCTATCCTTCAGATCCTAGTTTGAAATAAATCATAATTTACTATTTACCTGGGCTGTCTGCCTACAACTTGTAAAAAAAAAACTGACACGAAGAAAGAAGAACACTAAAAGTCATTCCCTCACTTCTAATTTATGTAGTGCTGAATGTGCAAGAAGGAAGAGGAAGAAATAACTTGAACAAATTTAGGAAGAGAGAAATGGGAAAAATATGATTGAAAAGATTGAAAAAAAAACCAAAAGATTCTAATACAAAACATGATGCTTTATGTACAATTTTATTCATGTTTGAATGCCTTACTAATATAACACACAAAACATATAAAGATTTCATTCTGAAAATCAAACTTAGTTATGCCTCCTTACCTGTTATGCTTAGACTTTCTGTCTGAAAAACTTTCTGAAGGGGAGGGAAGTAGACTACCAGCAGCTGACCCATTATAGATCCAAGGACAGCATAACAGAACATCTTGTTGCTGCAAAGTCCAATCTCAAACACCGATTTAGTCTGGAAGTTAAGAAAATAAATTCTTCCAGTTGTTTATTCCATAAGAATCCAAAATTCTTAGTAAACTAAATATAACAAAATATTTTTCTATAAACTCCATAGAAACTTGAGCTTGCTATGATCTTAAACATACTGATGATTTATGTATCATAAGTTTCCCAAAAATATTTATTGCATAAATTTTCAAATCAGATGAACACATACCTGAGATCTAGAACTCAATGCGTTAAACATATCAAAAAATACAAAGCAAGTGAAAGTCATTGTTGTATCTCTGGGTGTTATAACATTGTCTCGTAGCTGCCAAAAAAAAGAAAAAAAGCTTAATTTATAAATTTAATTTATAAAGTTCACTAATAGTTTATGAAAACATTTTAAATAACTTTTCCTTAAGATTTGAAATGTTAGTATCATAAAGTATATCTAACTTTGGGGACTTCCCACTTGGCTGATTTGGGAGCATAATAATACTATTAATAATATAAAAGTGATATGATGGTGATGACGATGATATGCATTTACTTCAAATACTTTCTGCAGCTCCATTACAAGAACAATATTCTGATTTTCACCCTTCCACCCTAAATTGTGCACCAGAAAATGCTACTCCATCCAAAGTTATCTGATCATGAGTGTGTGGGTGTGACAAAATAGCTGCTCTGTCTTGCCAGGGCCCTCAGACTCTTAGGGCTTCTAGCACTGCCAGCATCATCACTGCATCTACATCTGTTAGTATAGCTAACAATTGAGAATTGGTCTTATAAATCAACAAAATATTCAGAGCTTGTTTGACTAATTCCCCATTTATTTCTTATTTCTTTTTTTCCCCATTTTCTTTTACCTGTTCTCAAACTGAAACTCAAACATTTACATAGAGGGCAGAGTTTTGTTTTGTGCTATTATACCACATAATAGCTATTTCTTTCAACATCATGCTATTATTTTAAAAAAATAAGCTATGAATTTATGAAATCTCAAAAAGTTGCATGCTGGTCTTTCTCAGGCCATAAAATATTCTGTCTTTCGTTAAAAAAGAACCTCAGAAAAATTTAACTATCAAATGCACTTGCTGGTATTCAAATCTTTTTTCACAGATTAATTTTATATTTTTTGTACAAAGCGACCCCATATTATTTCAATACTTATTTTGAAAATCTTTCTTCCCTTAGAAAACCCATTTGCCTTGGATACTTAAGGCTGTTATTCAAAAATCCAGAATGTATAGCTTTCCTGCTTGCATAGAACATATTATATGGTTCTTTAGATCTCAGTCATAGCCTATATATTTTTAGTTTGTAATTTCTGACATATATACAATACTGCAAGTAAATGTTAGCATTACAAATAGATGGTTCCTACCTCTCTCCAGAAGACAAATAGTGTTCCACATACAATAATTACAGATGAAACTAGAATTTTAATAATCAGATTTTTGGTCAAAATGCTGTCCTTGACATTTCGTGGAGGCTTTCGGATAACATCTTTATCTACAGGCTCAACACCAAGACTAAAAATTAAGAAAGCAAATAATTTTATAAAAGTTTATCTTAATTAATATCAAATAAATCAATTAATATGGAATTTGGTGTAAACTTAAGTATAGATGTATATTTGTCAATCCAACTAATCAAAATAGGCTGAATCCAGACTAGATTAGTGTACTGGAATCAATGGAATGTAAATGTGACTATTCAGGCTTTAATCCAATTTACTTTATCTTATACTACCTGCAAAATTATTACTTATGCAATCTCACCATGCCAGTATTAAAAACAATTTACCAGTGATATTAAAAAGCAATCCTTTGAAAATGATACAGAAATAAATGTTTAATGCAACCATTTTTAAGTGCTGTCTTGACAGATAAACCAAAAATTTGACATAGCTGCCTTTTGGATGGAGGGAACTGTAACAAATTCAACTACAGACTGCCAATTAATTATATAAGAATTTTTTTTAAATGCTTCAGCTTCAGTTATGCAACTCTGATACATTAAAAAAAATACCTTTGAGCTGGAGGTCCATCCATGATAATGTTGATCCATAAGATCTGCATAGCATTGAGAGGATTAGGAAAGTTCATTAATGTGGCCAATGAGATTAATGTCAATGCAGCTATACTCCTGTTGAAAAAAGTTATTTTAAACAGCTGTCAGCATAGCCAAAAAAAGGAAGGATGAGGGAGAATGTAAAACAGAAAACTATAATATAAATGAATAGCAAATAAATGTAAATACACAATAAAAATCCAACTGCTTTAAAGCTGATCACATAAGTTGGGGTGTTATTTGGAGCAACATAAAGTAATTATAGCTTTCACATTCAGATCACATAGCAATTCAAAATTTGCAGTATCCTCTGCTACAGAAATAGAGCCAATGATGGTTTTGTCTACTTGATAAAAATATGCATTTTGTAACAATTAAAATAAACAGAACTTTTCCATATTTATAAGAAATCACGGTTCCAATAACAAAATGTTCATGAATGTTTAGTTTACACGTTAATATAGTGTTGAAACCTGCACTAATTTGTATATGTATTAAATCTGAATGGCAATTCCAAACTTGGATATGCTTGGAAAATCTCTCCCAAAGCATTTTGATACATTATAAAATACAGAGTGTTTTCCAACCTTGACACCCTCTATTGTAAATGCATGGACGGGGAATTAAGTCCACATATCTGGAAGTTCCAAAAGTTGGGAAACAATGGTATATAAATTTCAAAAGGATGCTTTGACGCTGTAATGTCTTATTTGATTCTTCTAGTCCTTACAAATTATGGCCAACTTTTAAAAAAGTTGCCCATAAAGTTCCTGGTTTCTTTGTGTTGGAATTTATGCAATACTGTCAAAATGCAATATGTTTGGTTTATTTTTAATCTTAATAATTACTATATTGATAGCATATTTATCCTGCTCTTTAATTAAAAAAAACTCCTATGAATCCAGTATAATCAGGTTCATAATAAATAATGCAAGAAGACAGTAATAAGAAAAGAACAAAGAAAAAACATGATGGGATGTCAATTATCTTGAAG